AGGAGGAGGAGGAGGAGAAAAGGTGAAGGAAAAGAGGAGAAGATGGATATGGAGAAGGAAAAGAAGATAGATAAGGAGAAGATGGAGGGGGAGGAGATAAGGTGAATGAAGAGAAGGAGAAAATGGAGAAGGAAAAGAAGAAGATGGAGAAGGAAGAGAAGAAAGAAAAGATAAGGTGAAGGAAAAGAGGAGGAGATAGAGGAGGAGGAGGAGGAGGAGGAGAAAGAGGAGAAGATAAGATAGAGAAAAAGAGAAGATGGATATGGAGAAGGAGAAGATAGGGAAGGAGAAGATGAAGGAGGAAGAGGAGGAGAAAGAGGAGAAGATAAGATGAAGGGAAAGGGAAGGATATGGAGAAGGAAAAGCAGAGAGAAGGAGAAGATGAGAGAAGGAAAAATTGGAGGAGGAGAAAGAGGAGAAGAGATGGTGAAGGAGAAGATGGATATGGAGAAGGAAAAGAAGAAGATAGAGAAAGAGAAGAGGGGGGAGGAGGAAGAGGAATGAAGGTTGTTAGACAATGTCTCCCCTCTCTTATAATTGCAGAAATGAAACTAAAAGGACGTGGAAAGGCTGCCCTCATGAGAAGAACTAAGCAGGCTGTAGGCTGCAGGCCAACTGGGGAGTCACTCAGCAGAAAGTACCTTTCGTGGCATTGTGTGCATCCAACACATGCCATAAAAATGGCACAGATGTTAAAATTCACTGACTTAACAGCAAAAGTGGGACCCTGCCGAGACAGAAGTATAAAATCGCGGGGATTAAAGAATTATAACAGTCATTTTAAAGTCAAATTAGCCCCGGGGATAAAAGCTTGAACATGGTTGTGTTGTTAAACAACAGCCGAGCCCCTGAACGTCTACCAGCGCTTGCAAAGTCGCCTCTTGCAATAATCAAAACCTTGTCCGTTACAGGATGACGGGCAGAAGTAGCCAGATCTCACCTACCCCAACGTGGGAAAGGAAGCATTGGAAAACCATGTTAGATCGAGAACAGCCTGCCTTTTGGTTTGGCTCAATGTGAATTCCTATCATTCGCACCCAGCAAAGTTCCGGCCAACCGTCTTCCATGGGATTTCACAACTACAGACCTTTATCAGACTCGGAGGCTTTATCAGGCCAGGCCAATAGCTTCCAAATGCCACGCTGTAGCAGCAATTACTTGGCAAGAAGTCAGGAACAGATCTTAATGAATTGAGCTAACTGTCTCCTGCAACCCCCCCCCCATTCGCTCCTCTTTATTCACTATGGGAGGGGCCATTCACCGTCCACCTGTGCCTTTACTCCTGAGTCAACCCTTGTTCCTTAACTGTTCCCTTCTCCTGGCAGCTCTGTGCATGTGCACATCATGAACAGGCTCCAGCTATTCTTCTGCCCCACTGATCTCCAATTCCGAAGGCAGTTGATAACTGTCGAACGGCCCTGGCCCCATCTCTGCCTCTGACACAGACCACTCCTCAAAGCCTTCCCCAGACTCCAGGACTGGCCCATGTTCGTTTCCAACCTCCTCCCTGTCCGAGTCTACCGCCAGCTCCACTGGCCACTGGCAGGACCACAACAGGCGGTCCCTGTCAGTTCCTCCTCTCACAAAAAGCCACACAGAATCTACAAACAGCCCGAACTCTCCACAAACCAAGATACCTCCTTCCAAATCAAGTGTTATTGGCAGCAGGTCTCCAGAGGATGAGAAGATTGTGGTAAGAAATGATAGGTAAAGACATAAAAGCTGGTTAGACAGCAGAAGACCAAGTTCTCAACGTTGGTTGGAGATGGTTTCGAGGGATAGAAAGAGGGAGGAAGGAACCATCCTTTCCTGGAGAAGACAAGGTATAGGTACAGCTAAAACTTAAATACAGGAGGTTGGCTTTGCTAGGGTTTCTGGACAAGCCAGGATCATGTCTCAAGCCAGGATTCATTGCTTAATCTGAGTTTATTAGATAAACTTCTGACAGGGAAATGTATAGACTTCTTCATTCCAGGTCTCCAAGATTGCAGATCCTACTCATTTTCCAAACGATTCCTGACCCGCCAGCCTTTGCCGAATCCCACAATCACGGGCCACTTCTGGCCACCAGGTGGCACTCAAGGCCAACACAACGGGCCTCTCTTCCCCACCAGGGGGAAAAAAGTTTAGAGAGCTGCCCAGTGCCTCGGTCCTCCACCATCAGCATGTGACACGGCTATAAATATTTAAAATGCCACAATATTAAGCAATTAAAGTGACTATTTGTGTGGAAGACTGCCTGAAAGATCTTTTTAACCTTTAGCATTTCACAGCTAACCAAAAAAAAGAAGGAAGCCACAAAGTGCATATGGTTGTATTTCTGCAGTGGCACTTGGCTTCACTTGCAGGGCCAAGAGATGGATTTTGCCAAAATTTGGGAAGAAAGAGAGAGACTCAAAGGCCCGCTGGATGAGGAGAGAGGCAGGACTTGAGATGCCAACACTCACCAAAAGCACCTCTGAAACGTGAGCAAATGTGTGCCCAGGGCCCCAATTTTCTTTCTTTTTTTAATATATAATTAGTTTTTATTCTAGAAAAAAACATTTATTTGACATATATTTAAAACAGACAAATCAACACACACACACACATTTTACAGCATATATTGAGCAATGGTTAATTTTTTTTTCTTTATCATTGACGTGATTGATCTGCCTTGTTACAATAACTCCTTCATTCTTTTAATGTTTTAATTTCTCTGTACATAGTTTGTGATTAAATGCACGTCTTCTGCCTTTTCCGTAGCTTATCCAAATATCAAATATTACCTTTTCTTTAACCGCTCATACCAAACGTTCCATATTGCATAATAATCACGATCTTGTTTATTTTTTTAACAGTTTGGTTATCCATCTCAGCGCATTCATGCATTTTTTTTTAATCACCATATCCTCTGAAGGAGAATGGAAGACAGTTTCCAGTTTTGTGCGTAGATTATTCTGGCTGCAGTTATGATTTGCAAAATTAAATATTGGTATTTTTTTTCTCCATGTTTGAATCTATCCATACTTAGCAAATCAGGGCCCCAATTTTCCTACATGATCACTGCCCTCATCTCCTTGAGCCCATCCATCCATCCATCCATCCATCCATCCATCCGTCCGTCCGTCCGTCCATCGCAACAGAGCCAACTCCTGATCAACTTTCTTCCTTCTACATCCAGGAGGTTTGTTTCAAAAGCTTTTCCCACAAAGCACCACAAAAACCTCCTCTTCTCCACAGCGAGACCATCTGAACACAATTCCCGCTTGTGTTTCAATTTCAGATCAGTCCTTCAAGTATCCATAATACTTTAATTAGTTAATAAACACACTGCTATACTGCAGGTTTTGGGTTTGGCCAAAGAAAAGAAGAATTAGGGGTGACGTGATAGCAGTCTTCCAATATTTGAGGGGCTGCCACAAAGAAGAAAGAGACAAATTATTTTCCAAAGCCCCAGAAGGCAAGACAAGAAACAATGGATGGAAACTAATCAAGGAGAGAAGGAATTGAGGAGAAACTTCCAAACAGGGAGGACAATTAACCAGTGGAACAACTTGCCACCAGAAATTGCGGGTGCTTCATCATTGGAGGCTCTAAAGAAGAGACTGGACAGCCACTTGTCTGAAATGGCATAGGCTCTCCTGCTTCAGCAGGAGGGTGGACTAGAACACCTCCAAAGCCCCTTCCAGCTCTATTCTATTCTAATATGGCTGCCACTTTGCAAGGGCGTCTCTGGATGGCCCACAGAGGATGAAAACCAGCAGAACAAGAATGAACAGTAACAATAACAATTGTTGGATGCAATCAATCAAACTCAAGGTATGTAACCACATTCACATCAAGAGGAAAAACCCTACAGTGATGGACTATGATTTAAGGTGCCATGGGCAACCTGAGAGGCACCCTCATCCTACAAGGTACCAGGTCACCTGCAGAAGAAAAAGAGGTGGGTTTCCAGACCGGTTGCCGAAGGAGACATGGTCAACTTGGATGATGCCCAGAATCCTTATTTACATGACTGGGAATCCAAGTCCCCACAGCAACGATGCTCACACCTGACATTTTATTGAGCTGTGAAGAGAAACACACACACACACACACACACACACACACACACATCGTCATGATGTGAAAAAAGATGTTGAGACTCCAGGAAGAGTGCAGAGAAGAGCAACAAAGACGATTAAGGGACTGGAGGCTAAAATATACAATGAAGGGTTGCAGGAACTGGGCAGGGCTAGTTCAGGAATTGGCAACCTGCAGCTCTGGAGCTGCGTGTGGCTCTGTCATCCCTCTGCTGCAGCTCCCTGTCACTCAAAATATGCACCACAACCACCAACATGTGTGACACCTGCCAGCACGTGATTTATTGAGCTTTCTGACTCCCGGTAGGCCAACCATGGGTAAATTCAAGAAAAGTTTCAGAAGAACAAAAAAACCAGAACGTTTAATTCAACTACATATGCTAGTTTTGTGGCCGCTTAGGAAATACAGTAGTCAGGCATGGGGAGAAGGTTTTGTGGCTTCCGGTGTTTTCTTTTCTGTGGGAAATGGGTTCCAATAGCTCTTTGAATTTGCTAACCCTGGTCTAGTTTAATGAAAAGAAGGACCAGGGGAGACATGATAGCAGTGTTCCAATATCTCAGGGGGCTGCCACAAAGAAGAGGGAGTCAAGCTAGTCTCCAAAGCACTAAAAGGCAGGACAAGAAGCAAAGGATGAAAACTAATCAAGTATAGAAGCAGCCTGGAATTAAGGATAAATTTCCTGACAGTTAGAGCAATTAACCAGTGGAACAGCTGGCCACCAGAGGTTGTGAATGCTTTAACCCTGGAAGTTTTTAAGAGGAGATTGGATAACCATTTCTCTGAAGTGATGTAGGGTTTCCTGCCTAGGTAGAGGGTTGGACTAGAAGACCTCCAGGGGTCCCGTCCAACTCTGTTATTCTGATTCTATTCAACACCACACAACCACACCTGGTCTTCTCTTCAATGTCAAGAGATTTGTCCTTCATACTTACTGGCTCAATCTTCAGGGCATTGCGATAGCTCCCGAAAAAGGCGGCCTGGGCTTTCAGGAATGCTCTGGCGACCCCATCTCCTGTGGTCATGGAGACCTTCTTCAACCGGCTTTTCAGGGCGGAGATCTGGAGGGAGAACAAGGAGAAGTTTCTACCTGGAAGAAGGCCCTCAAGAGGAAACCGTGCAGGGGGTTTGGCTGCAATTGATGGGAAGAACTGGAGAGGGGGGAAGCCCCCTGTGTTGCTTTCATTGCTGAAGATGTTGACTCAAAAGCAGGTCCCCCTGAACTCCTTGGGATTCACCAAGGAATGAGATACTTTGGACTGCACTTTTAAGCCAATCATGGAAGAACAGTGTTGAGTTTACTTGGGTATTTCTTGAGTTTACTTGGGTATTTCTTGAGTTTAACTGAGCACTTCTTGAGTTTATTTGGGTATATATTGAGTTTATTTGGGTATTTCTTGAGTTTAATGGGTATTTCTTGAATTTATTTGGGGATTTGTTGAGTTTATTTGGGCATTTCTTGAGTTTATTTGGGTATATATTTAGTTTATTTGGGTATATAGAGTTTATTTGGGCATTTCTTGAGTTTATTTGGGCATTTCTTGAGTTTATTTGGGTATATATTGAGTTTATTTGGGCATTTCTTGAGTTTATTTGGGTAGATCTCTTTATTTGGGTATTTGTTGAGTTTATTTGAGTATTTGTTGAGTTTATTTGGGTATTTGTTCAGTTTATTTGGGTATTCATTTTAATGTATTAGTATACATTCAAAGTGACGATAAAGTTAGTTTAAGTTCTAAGTATTTTTAACCCATTGCAACTGTTTTTTTTTTTTTTCATTTCACCTATTTCACATTTCCTCCTAGATCAGGGGCGCCAAACTCGATTTCATTGAAGGCCACATCAGGGTTGTGTTTGACCTCGGATGACTGGCGGGGGTACAGCTGGCATGGTATGGCCAGCTCGACATCACTTGTGTCAGGGGCACCTGTGATGGCCAAGTGTTAAGGCAGGACTTCCTGAAGACTTCACTCACTCATTATAAACTCCTTCCTTCCTTCCTTCCTTCCTTCCTTCCTTCCTTCCTATTTCTTCTTTTTCCTTCCCTCTACATTCTCCTTTCTTCTTCCTTCCCCTCTTATTTTTCCTCCCTTGCTCTCTTCCCACTTTTCCTTCTTTTTCTTTTGCCTTCCCTCTCTCCCTTCCTCCTTTCCTGTCCCTTCTTGGGTGCTCCAATGCAAATGGGGAAACGTTCCTCCTTCTGTTTTGTTTTTAGTTTGTTTTGCTAGCCCCTTGCCAGCGAAAATGGTTCCCCGGAGGGGGGAGCAGGTTTGACACCCCTGTCCTAGATAAGCCAACTTCCCAGGAAGGAAAGCCATGTTTAAGCAAAGAGAGGATGAGTTTTAAGCAAGCGAGTGGCCCATGGCAGTCAATTATCTTCTTGCTGACCTTCACAGCTCTACCACAACTGAAGCATGAATGCCACCCTACCCTTGGACCTGTATCCTGCACCCGGAGTCAAAAAGAGGGCTGTGAAAATATTTACGGACCCCTCACATCCCGGACATAAACTGTTTCATCTCCTTCCCTCAAAACGACGCTATAGAGCCCTGCACACCAGAACAACTAGACACAAGGGGAGTTTTTTCCCCAATGCCATCCCTCTGCTAAACAAATAATTCCCTCAACACTGTCCAACTATTTACAAAGTCTGCACTACTATTACTGTAAATCTTCGCATCACTCCTTATCGCCCATCTCCTCCCACTTGTGACTGAATGGCTGTAACTTTGTCGTTTGTATACTTATGATTTATATTGACTGTTTCCGAGTATGGTTTAATTGCTTATTGTACCTTATGATTATCATTAAGTGTTGCACCTGATGATTCTTGACTCTTGATGAATGTATCTTTTTTATGTACCCTGAGAGCCTTTGCGCCAAGACAAATTCCTTGTGTGTCCAATCACACTTAGCCAATAAAGAATTCTATTCTATTCTATTCTATTCTATTCTATTCTATTCTATTCTATTCTATTCTATTCTATTCTATTCTATTCTATTCTATTTTTATTGTACCCTTTGAATATCATTAAGTGTTGTACCTTATGATTCTTGACTCTTGATGAATGTCTCTTTTCTTTTATGTACACTGAGAGCATTTGCACCAAGACAAATTCCTTGTGTGTCCAATCACACTTGGCCAATAAAGAATTCTATTCTGTTTTCTCCTTCTCCTTCTCCTTCTCCTTCTCCTTCTCCTCCTCCTCCTCCTCCTCCTCCTTATTCTATTCCATTCCATATTCCATATTCCATATTCTAACTTCATGGAAGCCGGAGAAGAAACAACTTGTTGCAGACCCTACTACATCTAATCTCAAAAGCAAAATGTGCCTCAAATGGAAAATTCTTCTCTTCAGACTAGCATCAAGCAAAGCAGGACAGGGTTTAGTAATGACTTCACAAGCGGCAACCCTAACTCGATTCGCCCCCTTTTCTCATTAGAGTAAAAGGGCCTGATCTGCCCCAGCCCAGATGCCAACCGTGCCCACCTGTCAACAGGCGCCACCCTTCACTCCTCCGGCATATCCTCAAGGCTTCTCGGAAGCTCTTTGCCACCTGCGCTTCAGACGATGTCATACTTAACCTTCCTTGCCCTCTCCCTTTCATCCTGGAGGTGTTTAATTGCCTCTGATTCACAGAGCGGCACTTCAGGTGAACGCAGCCTGATGGTCTCATTACCATCGGCACAAAAGAACATTCCGTGACAGGAACTGAGCAAATCTCGGCTCGCGCTGACTTGGACAAGCTCCCGAAAGGGATCAGGAGCATCCAGGTTCCATGGGTCTCTCTCAGATCCTCTAAAACACTGGTCCCCAACCTTTTTTGTGCCGCGGCCCGGTACCGGCATCACAAAATCATCCGCGGCCCGGTACCGGCATCAGCACGCATGGCAAGGCGAGTCGAGCGACCGGCCAGCCAGCCGTCCCCCGCTTCTCCCCGCCACCTTCAACTCCTCCTTTGTACCTGTGTCGATGGGCTTTGCGATGGCTTCGGGACGGTCGCTCGGCTCACCTTGCCATGCGTGCTGAAAGAAACCTCGCGCCTTAGTTTTGTTCGAAGCCGCCCCTCCCTCGATGAAACTAAGGCGCGAGGATTCTTTCAGCACCCAAAATGCCGCTTTCTACCCGGAAAAGCTCACCGGAAGCACTTTTTCATCAAAACAAGATGGCGGCGCCCAGCAAACCGACGGCCCGGTAGAAATTGTTCCACGGACCGGTACTGGTCCAGGGACCGGTGGTTGGGGACCCCTGCTCTAAAGCAGGGGTGACAAACTCAAGGCTGGATGCGGCCAGCGATGGGGTCAGAACTGGTCCACATCACTTTGGCCTGGTCCACCTGCTGTCAGGACTCCAACAGCCACCTCCATTCAATTCATAAGTCTCTAGCCGCGTCTCTCAGAGTGAAAAAGATTGATTTATTAGGAGTTGACATGCACTCCCTTTCTGCTGCCAACTAAAAAGACCAAAGAAGTATTTTTTTTAGTTGATACCCATGTTGCTCTGTTCTGTTCTACCCAATGCGAAGAGGAAAGATCGGGCCAACATAGTTTTAGCCAGTGGTTGGGATTCAATTTTTTTTTTACTACCGGTTCTGTGGGTGTGGCTGGATGGGCATGGCAGGGGAAGGTTATCCCCATTCCCTCCCCACCCCACTAACCTGCTTTCCAGCTCCGCTCTCCTGTGCAGGGCAACCAAAGAAGACCCAGCCGATCAGCTAGGACTCGATGGGAGGCAAAGAATCGATGGGGGTGGGGCCAGTCAGAGGTGGTATTGGCCAGTTCTCTGAACGACTCAACATTTCCACTACTGGTTCTCCAGAACTGTTCAGAACCGGCTGAATACCCACCTCTGCTCCTCACCCCACTGACCTGCTTTCCAGCTCGGTTCTCCTGTGCAGGGCAACCAAAGAAGACCCAGCCGATCAGCTGGGACTCAATGGGAGGCACAGAATAGATTGGGTGCAGGGCCAATCAGAGGATCTCCAGGACTGGTCAGAACCTGCTGAAGACCCACCTCTGGTTTTGGCCCGGTCTACTCAATGTGATGAGGAAACATGCCAGCAGTTTGGGGATGGCGTCAAACATGCCTGGATGGCCACACCCATCAGTTGGCTATGCCCGCCTGGCCCCCCGAGGTCAACCATAGCCCTGACGCAGCCCTCAGTGAAATTGAGTTTGAGATCTCTCCTCTAGAAACCTAGGAGTGTCCCTTGTGTCTACTCAACCTTGGCCACCTCTGGACATCAACTCTCAGAATCCCTGGCTGGGGAATTCTGGGAGTGGAAGACCACCCATCTTAAAATGGCCACGGTTGAATAGATACACCATGGACACTCCTGCCGTTGAAGAAAAATATATCTCAGTATCTACAGACCCCTCACATCCTGGGTGTAAATTGTTTCAACTTCTACCCTCAAAAATAATGTTGCACACCAGAACAACTAGACACAAGGGCAGTTGTGCCATCACTCTGCTAAACAACTAATTCCTACAACACTGTCAAACTATTTACTAAGTCTGCATTACTATTATACTTCTCATCCTTCCTATTATCAATCTCCTCCCACTTACAACTATAACCTTGTTGCTTGTAATCTTTACAATTTATCTTGTTTTGCTTCCTAGTATGATTTGACTGCTTATTTAGTATGTTATGACTATCACTAAGTGTTGTATCTTATGATTCTTGATGAATGTATTTTTTATGTATGTGTTTTTTATATTCTTGTGTATATTGAATGGTTGCTACAATTGGTTGCACCTTCAAGCAAAGCAGTTCTGTTGCCAATTTCCTCCCTCTCATATTTCAGGACAGGAAGAGAGGCACTTTGAAAGCCCCCACAGACCAAGATCAGAAGAAAAACCATGGGTGGATGGTGGTTACTTGGACACCATTTCCAACAGACAAGAACCATTAGCTCTTCAAGGTTCCTTTAGGCCTGCGGGACTCGGACATAAAAGTCAAGGAAATCAACATCTGGTCTGAAATTCTTCCGTCCTGAGAACAGGAGGTGTCAAAAGCACCATGCTTATTTTATTTATTTATGTATTTATCCTGTTTCCTCGAAAGTACGACCTACCCTGAAAGTAAGTCCTAGCTTGATTTTTACACGTGCACCCAATATAAGCCCTACCCCTCAAAATAAGCCCTAATTAAGATCCCAGAGTGGACAGGTAAAAATTAAGCTAGGGTGGGGATAGGGTGGTGGTGGATCTGCCCAACTACGTACCTTTGGACAGTTGTAGCCAGGCCTCGCCCACCCCGACACCAGCCTTGCCGGCCCCATTTCTTCTGCCGCCAGCAAGGCTGGCAAAGCTTTCCTGAAGGCCTCTGGAGCTGCTAACCAAGCTCTGGATCGATCCAGAACTCTCTTATCGGCTGCAGAGGACTTCAGGAAAGCCTTGCCAGTCACAGAAGAAGTTTTTGAAGGCCTCTGACAGCAAAAAGGAGGCTGGGGGCAACGCACGCATGTGAGGTTCGTCAGTGGATGAAATCCCCCCAAAATAAGACCTGGTGCCTTTTTTGGGTGGCCAAAAATATATATATATATATAAGACAGGGTCTTATTTTCAGGGAAACATGTATTAGAATTTGTCAAACAAAAATGAGAACAAGAATAGAAAAATAAAAATACAACGACAGAGGCAATGGGCACGTCCCTGCACTTATACATGCCCTCCCTGTTCTACTACTACGTTCTACACTCTTGGGAAAGTTGTCCACAAGTCAACATCTTGAGCAGAGCTTCCCTTTGCAAGATGGCAGAGGTCCCTAGGGCCACCCTGCCCTCAACGTGGACAACAGCCTCTCCAGGAAGGAGCAGTTTCTTTCCAGAGCTGTCGCGGAGACTCACAACCAAATCCCGGTGGTGTGTCGAAAGCACATTTCTATACTCTTGGCGGTTTCGGTGGAAAGGTCAGATTTAAGCTATCACCATGTTTCGAGATGCAATTTGTGAAGTGCAGCATAATGAAATGGTTCAGCAAGGGTGCAAGAGGAATTTCTTTTAATTAGATCCGTGGCTTTTGAGTTGTCAACATGAATAAAAAGCAAGGAAAAACACCGAACTTGCAAAACATGGTATCAAAAGGAGGAGGAGTGGGGGAAAAAAAGAGAGAGAAACCTCCTTCAATCCAAGTTGCTTTTTAAAAAGGGAGCTGAACGCTGCACTTTTTTAAAAAATAAAATAAATCACAAACTTCGTGCTCAGGTACCCGGTTAACAAATTAAAAAACCCAACAAGCGATGAGAGAAAGCAAACCTCTTTGATGGTGACCTTCTCCAAAGAAGACGACCACCAAACCAGCGAGAAGAGGAAAAAATCAGAAATCAGAAACAATTATCATAAGCCAATTAGCTGTTTTTTTTCCCCCATCAAGATGGAAGGGCTTTTGATGGGCTGGAATAAATGCTGTCTTGAAGAGGCCCGTGGTGGCCCTGACACCATTCTACCAACAAAGCTCCACCTTGGTGTACCTCTTGTCATAAATTCTCTCCTAAAAGGGCAACCAAGCAGGACCTTCAGAATGATAGATGCTGGATTCCTCTTGGGGATTAGTACAAACATTTATCAAGGCACGGAAGAAACAGCAAAGGAGAAGGTTTCACCGACAGAAACACGGGGGCCTTTTTCTAGGGACACTCCAAGCAGTCAACTGGAGAGGAGATTTCACAGAATAACAGAGTTGGAAAGGACCTAGTAGGTCATCTAGTCCAACCCCCCCCACCCAAGCAGGAGACCCTACACCATTTCTGACAGATGGCAGCCCAGCTTCCTTGAAAGCTTCCAGGGATGAAGCTCCCACAACTTCTGAAGGCAACTTCTGTTCCATGGGTTGATTGTTCTCACTGTCAAAAATTTTCTCCTTATTCCCAGGTTGAATCTCTCCTTCTTCAGTTTCCATCCATTCTTCCTTGTCTGGCCTTCGGGTGCCTTGGAAAATAGCTTGCCCCCGCTCCCCTCTGTGACATTTGAGGGGTCAGTCCTAACTACACCATGTTTGGAATAGCTGTCGAGGTCTATTTTATTTAACTTTTCGAAGTGGCCACTATTTTGTTCTCCTGAGCTGTTGTTAGTGGGTGATATTTTAATTTTATGCTTGGTGTTTGCTCTATGGGGTTTCTTTTGCTTTTAAACCTGCTGGTTGGTTCTATTTTACTGGCCTCTCTGGAGTATTTGCTGGTTTTAATTTTTGGTAGCTAGTGGAAAGTCTCTTTGTCCTCCACTCCATCTTATGTTGACTATCTGCTGCCCCAGAGGTGTCTCTCCTACAGCAGTGACCATCAAAGGTTGAAGAGACCAAGGTGAGCCCTTCCCTCATCCGATCCTGGCAAACCACTTTTACCAACTGATGGGTGTGAACCTCACCGTCTTTCACCTCCTAAGGATGAAGGAGTTATTCAACCTTTCCATCGGTTGACTGCAAAACTTTACTTAGTGGCCCTCTGTTTAGGAGAACCAGTAGACCATCCTTTGAGAATACGAGGAAAATGAACCAGGAAGGAATCTGAAGGTACTCACGATGTCATTGGGGAGGCTTTGTAGATCATCAAAAGGTGTTTCCAGTGTGTTGGTGTCCACATTCAGGATGACCACGTCATCCAGAGAAATGTTTCTGACTTTCTGAAAAGGAAACGGGGAGAAGCAAGTAGTTACTTATGCCCCAAACTCAAGAGTACAAACATGTTGTTAGGTGGTTTCCAAAATTTAGTTGTCTCCAATTGGATACATAGATAGATAGATAGATATAGATATAGATAGATACTATATAGATACTATATATAGTATCTATATAGTATCTATATATATACTATATATATATAGTATCTATATAGTATCTATATATATACTATATATATATATAATATCTATATATATGGCATTCAGCTTTGTTCGGGTATTTTCCCACATCATTGTAGTTGTGCTTTTAAAGTTGTAGCGACGTTTAGTATATATATAGTATCTATATATATCTATATATATTGTCTATATCTATATCTATATCTATCTATCTATCTATCTATCTATCTATCTATCTATCTATCATCTATCTATCTATCTATCTATCTATCATCTATCTATATATGTATCCAAATGGTTTCCTTTCTTCTAGTCAGGTTAGGCTAGATATATCTGGTCTGTTCTGACCTCGGCTTCCCAAAATCACGAAGCAGACTCCTCGTCCTGACAAAACCCCTTTTTATTTGGCTAATATGTGAATTCCTCTCACTCACATCCAGCAAAGTCCCTGCAAACAGTCTTTCAAGGGTGAATTCCAACCACAGATCTTATCAGGCTTCAAGAGTTGCCAGGCCAATAGCTTCCAAGCGCTATGGTGTACCAGAAAACACTTGGCAAGGAGTCTCTGAGAGTCACGAACAAATCTTCACACTAATTAAACAAACTAATTGTCTCCATTCCCCTTTCACTCCTCTTTATTTCCTATGGGAGGGGCCATTCACTATCCACCTGTGCCTTTACTCTTGAGTCAACCCTTGTTCCTTAGCTGTTCCCTTCTCCTGACAGCTCTGTGCATGCGCACACTGGGAACAGGCTCCAGCTGTTCTTCTGCCCCACGGATCTCCGACTGCAAAGGCAGCTGATAACTGTCGGATGGCCCTGGCCCCATCTCTGCCTCCGACGCAGAGCCCTCGTCAGAGCCTTCCCCAGACTCCAGGACTGGCCCAGGTTCCTCCCCAACCTCCTCATGTCCAAATCTGTCCACAACAATGTCCTCCAAAAAGCTTTGTTCTATGTCTTTACTGAACTGCAAATTCATGATGACTTCTCATCAGTCTTCCGCAGAAATTTAGCACTCAATGATGCCTCTATAATTAAGACCTCCAGTGCTATTTGGGTAGGACCCTGTTTGCAGATCATCAACACGTGAAATTTAACAACTAAAATAATAATCTCATCTCATCTCTTGAATTGTTCCCAAAAAGTCTCCCCAGCGGAGAAGACCCAGCACGCAACCTGAGTTGTCAAATTTTTATGGTGTTTGGAGTGTAGCAGCGAAACCCATTGTTCTTCGCTCAGGAATTTCTTCCAGAGAGCAGGACTTCAGCCTTACTTTACTCCACAGCTAGATTTCAATAAATGTCCACTTAGCCTCTCTCTTAAAGTAGATAACGGTACTTCAATTGACACTGGTGATGTATCTTCTTTGACAAAGTGATAAAACATGCCTTTGACTCACAGGGATATCAATGAGGCCTTGTCCCCTTGGCAAAAAAAAAAAAAGAAGAAGCGGCACCATCAATTAATCAACCCAACTAGACTTGATCTCCTCTCCTTCAGTTCTTTTCCCAGGCCGCAGAATGCTTTGAGGAAAAGCAGAAAAGCCCACTTTAAATCGTTGGGGAGTTTAAATCATCTACCGTAGAAATGGTGGTAGACTTTAGGAGAAACTCTCCCATACTATTACCTCTTACAATACTAGACAACACAGTATCAACAGTAGAGACCATCAATTTTTTAGGTTCTATCATACCACATGACCTAAAATGAACACCTGACATCAAAAACATCAAAAAAGCACAACGAAGAAGGTTCTTTCTGTGCCAACTCAGGAAGCTCAAACTGCCCAAGGAGCTACTAATCCACTTCTACAGAGGAATTACTGAGTCTATCATCTGTACCTCTATAAAATTATCCTATCAAATTCTGTACCTATCAAATTCTGCCACACACAGCCTCCCTTTCTTATCAACTGTTTTCCCGGCTGTGGCTAATGAAGGGAATCAGGGCCCTTTCCTCCCCCGTAAGCCATGCAACCCCACGTTGCTCTCTTCTCCGTTTCTCCCTGCGTGCCCTAGGGTGAAGAAAGGGTGGGCTGGTTTGTCCTCTAAACCCCCTTCTCCCTTGTTTTACCTCTCTCCTGCTCTGCCCAGACGGACTTTGCCCTTCCCCAGTTTCCTCCACAACAAACGGTACCACACTCCCATTCCCTGTCAGCTGTCCTGCTTCCTCCTCAGATTCAGACTCCGACAGGGGCATGACAAAACCTTTCTTTCTTGAGGCCCACAAAGAACCGCATGAATCCGGCCACGAAAGCTTTGAAGGAAGAGGCAGGAAGGATCCAGGCGAGATGCTCCGATGATCTGATCTTAACAGAGTGCTTATCCTTCTGTTTCCAGAATTTGAATGGCTAGTGCCATAAACAAATTAAGGTCTTCCATTATTCATAGAGCAGAACATCCTCCCCCTTCTGTCTTGGGTTTGGTGCCTGACCAAATATCTCTCCTCCTTTGAAGTTGCTTTAGAGATGGCTAAATAGAAACCGTACGCTGAATGAAGGACGAGGTGATGACAGAGAACGTGGGAAGAAAGGAATTGGGGGGAAAAATTCCACTTTGGGGAAACTGGGGTGGGCTTCTAAATCAGAAACAGTGGGCCAACTCTCACTCCACCCCACCCAATAATTTTACCTCGGTGGAGAGTTTTCCAGCCATAGCAAATAAGTCCCAACAAGTTATGGATAGGTTTGATATTTTAACTCTCAAGGAGCACACGGTCTCTCTCCGTCACAAGCAAAACCCAACATTTTCCTGGGAAGGGACCTTGGAGGTCTTCTAGTCCAACCCTCCCCACTCAAGCAGGAAATCCTGTATCCTTTCAGACAAATGGCTGTCCAATCTCTTCTTTAAAAACCCTGGTCTTGGAGCACCCATAACTTTTAGAGGCAGGCTGTTCCACTGTTTTATAGTTTGAAATTGAAATTTTCTCCTTAGTTCTATGTTCCTTGATTAGTTTCCATCCATTGCTTTTTGTCCTGTTTTCTGGTGCTTTGGATAATAAATTGCCCCCCTCGCCTTCCTTGTGGCAGCCCCTCAAATACTGGAAGACAGCTATCATGTCACCCCTAGTGCTTCTTTTCATTAAACTAGACATACCCAATTCCTGCAACCGTGCTTCATGTTTTAGCCTTCAGCTCCCTAACCATCTCAGTTTCTCTTCTCGGCGTTCTTTCTAATCTTGTACAATTTCTCCAATTTTCCGCAACCTCCTCTCAAATGCCTGAAATGGTTTACAGCTTAAGAGGGTGAAAAAACAACAACTATGCACCTAGTTTGGAGATGCCTGACAGTTACCGAAAAAGTTTCTGCCAAAAAACGTCAGGATCAAATTGAGAAGGGAGGTTTCTGATACTTCGACCCTGTTCCCAGGCTGACCAGGCCGAAGAGACTTACCTCTATCAGACTTAAATGAACTCCTATGAGGTAGGGCATCGGAGCGCTGGAAGGAAAGAGGGGGAAAAAAATGGTTGAATTTCACAAAGACAGGAATGAGAGTATTACAATCTAGTTTGACCGAGTGGATATGGCCGGGGCTTGCTTTACTTCTATGCAGAACTCGCTTGATTCCCAGATCCTGCAATGAACAGGTTAACAGAGTCAGAAGGGACTTTGTAGGTCATCTAGTCTGACCCCCTGCCCAAGTAGAAGACCCTACACCATTTTTTGACAGGTGACAGCCCGGTCTCTTCTTGAAAGCCTCCAGGGATGAAGCTCCCACAACTTCTGAAGGCAATGTCTGTTCCATGGGTTGATGGTTCTCCCTGTCAGGAAATTCCTCCTATTTCTAGGTTGAATTTCTCCTTGATCAGTTTCCATCCATTGTTCCTGGTCTGGCTTTCGGGTGCCTTCGGACACAACTTGACCCCCTCCTCCTCTCTGGGGCAACCCCTCAAATATTGGAACCCTGCCATCATGTCATCCCATTCCTTCTTTTCATTAAACGAGACATATCCAATTGCGACAACCGTTTTTCATATGTTTTAGCCTCCAGTCCCTTAATCCTCCTGGTTGCTCTTCTCTGCACTCTTTCTAGAGTCTCAACCTCTTTTTTATAGCGTGGTGACCAAAACTGGATGCAGTACTCTAGGTGTGCCCTTACTAAGGCTTTATAGAGTGGTATTAGTACCTCCCTTGATCTTGATTGTATCTGTTAATGCAATTTAGGATTGCATTGGCTTTTTTGGCTGCTGCTGCACACGGCTGGCTCCTATTTATCTGGTTTTCCACTAAGACTCCAAGATTCCTTTCACAGTTCCTGCTATTAAGCCGGGTTTCACCCAGTCTATATGACGGAGCTGTATGCCATCTCTTTAAAAAATTCATTTTCTCTTCAATTATGACTTGGGAATTGGAGAGCAAGGGAAAGGGGCCACAGAAAGAGATTATGGGATGCTTAAGCTCCTAGAAATCAATTGCTCTTATAAATGTCAGTGCCAAATCACACTGTCACCCCCACTTGGAGCTGACCCCTAAATTAAATTGTAACTAAACCAGCCAACAAATGCAGGAGAAGAAAGGCTTGTGCTGGCTTCACACATGTCGGGAAACGACGCTCCCTTTAATTTCCTCACGACCTGCAAGTCAACGGTAAGATCTCCGCCTTGCTCAAATACTTTGCACCCATAATCTGTAGGAGTTCTGGAAAGAGGGAGACAGCTCACTACGGCCTGGGGGAACATTAAAAAAAAAAAAGCGATGCGGGATTTCTATTCCTTTCTGTTAGTTTGTACATCCGCCTGTCCCTTCTCCCTGAGATTTTAATGATCAGCTTTGGACAGCGCCTTTCAACCTACGGCATCGTCTCAGCCCTGCTAGATCAATGGGAGCGGAGAGAGCGGTAAGCCGTTCTTTTTAGCGGCACAAAACTTCAGGCTGCTCGGAGCAAGCAGCTGACAAAAGGACGTCAGCCTCCCTTCCAAACGCCACCGCCGACGTGTTCCTAATTAAGTGGATTCGGCGAAACGACGGCGACGGGGATGGCTGCTCCTTCGGCCAGTGTGGAGAACACCAAGGTCTAAAGCTCGGCAGGAAGTCTTAAGGGCCGCCAATATCTTGTTGGGTGAACACCAGCAAAGCCCGGACGATCAAGAAGAGAAGGCGGGCATCGCGGTTGGTGTAAAAGCTGCCCTTTTGATGGGGCATCCAGAAGAACAGTCTGTCACCAGCGGGGAAAGGAGGAGGGTGGGAGGGTGGGAAGAAGACAGGAGAACTGTAAAACTTAATTAACTGCTTGGTGTTGATCTGTCAGTCTTCTCAATTAATCAAGGAGCACGATTGGGGACCGGGAAAATATTTTTTAATAGGGATGTCAGAATCCAAAGCATCTAAAATATTGCAAAATGCCCCCAGGGCTCAGAGGGATGGGGGAAAGAACCAAAGTGATTTCCCCTTCCCCAGATTTTCTCAGTCCAGATTTTCTGTTGACAAGGAGAGGGAACATCAGCGTGGCAGAAGGCGTATGTTGCTAGCCTCCGTCCCATGCCACGGCAGAGTCAGCATCACACCGTCTCTGAAAATGCACCCAGCCTTGCACCTGACTTGTCTCTTGTGAGCAATGGCATGACTCGCCACGGCCAACTCGCCACAGGACACTCGCGGGATAATTCAACAATTCAATTTAATTATTTAAAATGCAGGTAGTCCTCGACTTAGTACCACAATCTGACCCCACAGTTGATCCCACAAGTCATAAGTCACTTGTTTAAGTGCCATTGTTTTAACTTGGAAAGGTCACTTAATAAACTGCTGTGAGTCGAGGAGTATCCGTAGTTAAACAATGATTCTAATTTTTGTCATTTGTATTTCATTTTGTCCTTCCTTTGGCATCCTTTCTATAATAGTTCTATTTCTTCGACTGTGGTGTCATGCTTGTCCTGCAGCGAGTTGGCCGTGACGTATTGGCCATGATGAGTTGGCTGTGGCATGTTGGTCATCACGAGTTGGCCATGATGAATTTGCCTGGGAAGTTGGCTGTTACGAATTGGCTGTGGCATGTTGGCCATAACAAGTTGGCCATGACAAGTTGACTGTGGCATGTTGGCCATAAAGAATTGGCCATGATGAGTTGGCAGTGATGAGTTGGCCATGATGTGTTGGCTGTGGCGAATTGGCTGTGATGAGTTGGCCATGATGAGTTGGCCATGGTGAATTGGCTGTGATGAGTTGGCCATAGACCCCTCTGGCGTAGTTGCTCTTTCATTGTGCAACCCTCTTCCAGTTAACCTGTGCTTAGCCCCTTTAATTGTCCTGGTGCTCAAGAAATTGAGGTTCCTGCTCTGCTGAGCATCTGGATGCTCTTGAAGTTGGGTTTTCCAAGCCTAAGACCTGATTATATTTGGGAGACTGCAGAACTGGAGAACCCCGGCCAGCTTGCAGATTTTGGTTGAAGCTTCATGGTTTGCATTTGAGGGATTCCCCTTGATTTCAAAAAATCAGGGAGCCAAGACCCACCCCAACAAAAGCCCACCATCCAAGACACTAGACAGGCGCCCCAAGTTAAGACTGGAGGATTGAACCAAAGCAAAGTCTCAAAATACAACCCTTTGGGAACTATTTTAGCTGTTCTTTCCTGGTGATCTAATGTCTCAGATTATCCCAAGAGTATCAAATGACCATTAAGTGTCATCGGGAGACTCCAAAATGGGTGGGCTGAAAAACAGCCGAAGTCCAGTTGCAAAACAATCACAATTCTTTTCCACCTGCTTCCTCTCTTGTGCTTTACCATCACAAGACACAACTGGATCACAGCTGCAACATTCCCCTGTCCGCCCCCCCTCACCCCCCCCCAAAAATACCAACTCAATGTTTACATTTGAAACTCACAAGCAAATTAAAAAAAAGCAGAACCTGGGAACATCATCCCCGATACTTCTTCCTTCTTTCTACCCCTCCAAAATCTCAGCAGAAGGGACGGAGTTTGGGGTGTGTGGAAAAGATGTTTTTTAATTTCTAAAATTGAGCAGCTATTTGGGGGGGAAAGTGGGGCTGTATTTATGGCACACCAACTAGGCTAAATTGATTTATCCAGGCAAGTATCGTGTGCGATCACAATTCTAATTAAGGTTCGGATCAGTCTACTGTAATCAGTTACGTTGGCAAAAGGGCAATTAAATTCTTCCTGCTAATTACAGATTGGGGTTGGTTTGTTTTGGGGGCCTTGTTGTTCTGAGCTACATTACTAAACTGATCGTTTTGTTCTTCCCTATCCCATCCTGGGGTTTCCACCTCTTCCAAAAAGGATTTCAGAGACACAGCCCATCCTGGAGAATGGGCCCTCTCTAACAAAATGAAATTCAACGTAGAGAAAAGTAAAGTTCTACATTAGGCAAGAAAAAACAAAAGGATGCATATAGACGGGGTGAAACCAGGCTCACTGTGAGAGGAATCTCGGAGTCTTAGTGGACAACCAGCTAAATAGGAGCCAGCCGTGTGCAGCAGCAGCCAAAAAAGCCAATGCAATCCTAAACTGCATTAACAGAAGGATACAATCAAGATCAAGGGAGATACTAATACTGCTCTGTAAAGCCTTAGTAAGACCACACCTAGAGTACTCCATCCAGTTTTGGTCACCGCACTATAAAAAAGAGGTTGAGAGTCTAGAAAAAGTGCAGAGAAGAGCAACCAGGATGATGAGGGGACTGGAGGCTCAAACAGACGATGAACGGTTGCAGGAACTGGGCTTGGCTAGTCTAGTGGAGAGAAGGACCAGGAGAGATATGAGAGATATGAGAAAAGTCTTCCCATATTTGAGGGGCTGCCCCAGAGAGGAGGAAGGGGGTCAAGCTATTTTCCAAGGCACCTGTAGGCCAGACAAGGAATAATGGATGGAAACTGAACAAGGAGAGATTCAACCTACAAATAAGAGGGTATGCATTCACACACACACTCACATTTTTTGACGTTGTTACAATATGTGCAGCCCACCTCTGGTTGTAATGGTGAAAAATGCTAATTAAGTCACTCTTTTCAGTGCAACTCGGGAGTAAGGCTGGGAGGTGATTGCCCCTCCCCTAAGAGATAAAGGAGGTGCAAAGGTAGAGAAACCTTTGCAGGAAGCAAAGTCATTTGCTCTGTTCAGATTCAACCTTGAAGCTCTGGGTGGACTTTGCACTTCGGTTGTTTTTTTTTTATAGTTCCTTTGGCACCTTAGTTGTTGGCAGCCATTCAAAGGAGAGAAAGGTGGGTGCTTATCTCGAGGGACTATTTGAGACTCATTAAAGTCTGGGAATAAACATAATTCCCAGCGTTGAAATAAAACGAGAGCTGTTTTAACTAAGCGTGTGTGCTTAATGATGGTCTCGAGAAGCCTTGGTTAGAATAGGTTTAAACCCTTAAGATCTTCCGAAAGATCCCTAAGAAAAGGCCCATATTCTTACCAGCAGTAGTCCAAAAGATGAGGAGGCAGGACAGGGATGTAAACGTGTTGCCAAAACATTGGGTAGAGCAAGGAGGCCGAGCCATGGATGCAGGCAGTTAGCTGAAAGCAGAGAAACGACAAAAATCAGCTCACCTGGGCAAAACTACGAGATTTGGTCCACTCCGAGATTATCCCAACACAACTCCTGTGTGACCACCAGAAGGAGAATGGTAGTTGGGGTCCAGCACTTTTGGAAAAGTTGGCTTTCCAGAATGGGGGTGGATATTGAGGGGGGGGGTATAAAATACAGTAGAATGTATCTATCTCGCAATCCCCACACTTTCGCTACTTAAAGGTTACTCCTTATACAAGATGTTTTGTTCAGCGGGATGACGGCCAAACTTGGTATGTTAGAAAGAAGTTGGCCAAAAGTCCCGGAATGAAGCTTGGGAGAATCCAACGCAGGAAAACACCCATTAAAAAAAAAAGAAAGAAATAAAAATAACATTTTCTTTGTCATTTGCCGCTTCAACGGAAGAGGCTTCTCCTGTCTTATCCTCCCCTCTTCTCAACAATTACACCCAAGGAAAAGATTGACAAGGCAAAAGGATAGTCCCTTAGTGGGCTTTATGACCGAGAGAAGAGCTTTTTAATGCAAAAAGCAGAATTTTATTCTATATCTAATACCGGCGTTGTCATTCATAATTTGGAATTTCTGCCTGGATTACAAGAATTTCTAAGTACACTGCGTGGGTGCAGATGTGCGGATCCAATTTTGAGCTGCTAAACTTCTCTTTTTAAATGACTTTCTACCAAGAAAAACATTCCTTAATAGCAGTTCTTAATAATCTTCACCTGAAGAACCAGAGGCTTAGCCATGGAGGTTCCCTAGTCAGGAAAAAAAAGAACCCTGAATGAAAACGTGGGATCAATTGGCTAATTGCCCACGTGTGAACAGATTTCAAAATTCATCCTCAACCATTCCCATGCTCCTTTGTGACAATAAATACCGATTTATTGAACATACTAGGAAACGAATCTGTTTTTGTTTGGCTTGGAATAGCAGGCAGGGTTATCATAAAAGGAAAAAAAATTTTTTTTTTCACTGCTGGTTTTGCTAGAAGTCAATTCAATTAAAAGGGTTGGGTATATACATAGTTTTGTATTTATTTATTTATTTCTTCATGTTCCTGTAGTGTATATTGGAAGTGTGACACTTGGAGAGATGTATGCAATTAATTTTCATTTTAATGGGTGCTGATTAGTATACATTCAAAGTGACAATAAAGTTACTGTTCTGTTCTATTCTATTCTATTCTATTCTATCCTATCCTTCTGTGTTCTATTCTCTTTTATATTCTATTCTCTTTTCTATATCCTATCTCCTGTTCTATTCTATTCTATTCTATTCTATTCTATTCTATTCTATTCTATTCTATTCTTCTGTGTTCTATTCTCTTTTCTATTTTATTCTCTTTTCTATTCTCTTTTCTATTCTTTTCTATTCTATATCCTATCTTCTCTTCTCTTCTCTTCCTATTCCTATTCTATTATTCTGTGTTCTATTCTCTTTTCTAGTCTATTCTATTCTCTTTTCTGTTCTTTTCTATTCTATATCCTATCTTCTATTCTATTCTATTCTATTCTATTCTATTCTATTCTATTCTATTCTATTCTATTCTATTCTATTCTATTCTATTCTTCTGTGTTCTATTCTCTTTTCTATTCTATTCCATTTTCTATTCTATTCCATTTTCTATTCTGTGCTATTCTACTCTGTTAAAATCAGGATGTGTAGTCTCTCCAAATCCAGACAATGGTATATCAGTACGTCAACAGCATTAGTGAGGGAAAAGAAATTAATTTGCCATTTATCTAGGGGAAAGCAAAATGAAATGAAATGGACAAACAGCCTCCGTCCCCAATCAATACCTATTTACTGAATAAACAGCTAGGAAAACTTAACATTTTCCTTTAAAAAAAAAAACACACACCAAACCAAACCAAGGGAACCTATCGCTACTGCTAAAAACCTTACAAAGTGCAGATCTAAACTCTTGAATTAAAGCAAACGGGAACATTGTGGAGAGTAAAACCAAGTCATTTTTTTTATTATTATTAGTAATGCAACAAGAGTGGGCATAAGTGGGCAGCAGCTTTCATCTCTTGGGTCCTTGATGGACTCTAAGTAGCATTAAGCCAGCATCCTTATCAAACAAAATTGCAGCAAAACTGAGATTTTTATCATGCCCCATTTGAGTTCGCCAAGAGGTCAGGAGCAGATCCACCTGAAAGCATCGTTTATCCATTCTTTTCTTCCTTCTTCTTCTTCTTTTTTGCCTCCAGAAAACAAGCAAACAACAATCTATCCTTCCATGTGGTGTACAAAAAAAAAAAAGCCCAGAGCACTTTAAATGTTTTTCCGAAGCACTGACTTCAAGAAAGAAAAGTTTGCACATTCAAAGCAAAGAAGGGAGCAATTTCAAGCTGCCCTGGGCAGATTTATCATCATAGACCACCGTAGACATACGGAAAATAACTCCAGCTTTGCTATTATTTTATGAGTACACAATCCTGTTCTTTGGGACAGGGTGAAAAACCCTCTTCGGTGTGTTGGTTATGAACGAACCATTTATTCTGCCAGTGGATTTTCGGGTTTCTACTCTGCGTTTTGCTCGATGTTGGATGTGAGCAGGCTGAGCCCAGAGGGTGAGGTCAAATGCATCATCAGTTTGGAGTCTCTACACCTCCATAAGAGACCTAAGTCCAGCCTCCTTTGAAGTCCATTGACCTTATCTGGTGCCATTTCTCCTTGACCGTTAATAGTTTGGATTTTTTGTCTGTAGGTTGCATGAAATAAACTTGTAGTACTTTTGAATTCTATCGATCCATCGATCAAAATAGAACTGACAACAGATTTTGGAGGTCTTCTAATCCAACCCCTTGCTCGAGCTGGAGACCCTCTGCCATTTCAGACAAGTGGCTGTCCAGTCTCTTCTTAAAAACCTCCAGTGATGGAGTGACCACAACTTCTGGTGGCAAGCAGTTCCACTGGTTAATTGTCCTCCCTGTTAGGAAGTTTCTCCTCAATTCCAAGTTGCTTCTCTCCTTGATTAGTTTCTATCCATTGTTTCTTGGCTTGCCTTCTGGTGCTTTGGAGAATAAGTTGAGCCCCTCTTCTTTGTGGCAGCTCCTCAAATACTGAAATATTGCTATCACGTCACCTCTGGTCCTCCTTTTCTCTGGACCATACCCAATTCCTGCAACCATTATTCGTATAGTCATATAGTTCATATAGTTTTTAATCACCTTAGTTGCTCTTCTTTGCACTTTTTCCAAAGTCTCAACATCTTTTTGGTAATGCGGTGACCAAAACTGGTTGCGGTATTCCAGGTGCGGCCTCATTAATCCTAGTCCCTGACTTCTTGATCCCTGTGGAAGAATCCACTGGATTCATCCTTGGTTAGTCCAGGAGGATCGTGACTCCAGGAGGGAGAGCGGCGCAAACTTCTAGCAAGATTGGATTCTCCCACTAGGTTCCACTGCTCCCGTCTCCACAAGAAACTCAAGACTCAAAGGAAAGGAAAGGACCCCCATTACTCTTTCCAGCTTACCGTGCTCAATTTACTGCAGCAAATGAGAATGCGGCGTTCGTAGAGCATGCTCGCATACAGATGCAACATGTTGTTGACATCCACGGCTACAAAATACTCGGTCAGATTTCTCTAGGAAGGAAGAACAAAAAAAGAGAGAGGGAAGTTTATGAAATGGTCTTCCAGACAAGGGAGGAGTGGCACTCCACAACAGTTACTCTTAAGCTAGCATCGAAGGCCGGATAGAAACCTTAATCAATCAATCAATCAGGATAGATCTAGAATGGAACTTGGGGGGTCTTTTAGTCCAACCGCCCCTGCCCAACAGGGAGACCCCATACCATCTCAGACAAATGATTGTCTGGTCTCTTCTTAAAAGCCTCCAGGGATGAAGCGCCCACAACTTCTGGTGGCAAGCAGTCCCACTGGTTAATTGTCCTCCCAGTTAGGAAGTTTCTCCTTAATTCCACGTTGCGTCTCTCCTTGGTTAGTTTCCATCCATGATTACTTGTCCTGCCTTCTGGTGCTTTGGTAAATAAGTTGACCTCTTCCTCTTTGTGGCAGCCCATCAAATACTGGAATAATGTCTCTCCTCGTCCTCCTTTTCTCTATACTGGTCTAAAGACCTTGCACCATGGAAAAAACCATCTATCTAATCTTAATTCAAGCCAAAGGATTGATATTTTATCATCTTCCTTTGAGACTTCTGTAGACTTTTCTGCTAACAAAAACGCACTCCCTTCCACAAGGCAGACAGAGTGACCAAGACCTCGAGGGTGCCGGGGGTAAGGACCATGGACAGAGTCAACGCCCTCCATGGCTCCTTCTTGGTTTCGCTCAAGCCTTACTGGGCAGCGAAGTGGGAGAGCCGCCCAGTAGAAATGGGGCGACTAGGAGAAGAACATAGACTCCGTTTTGAAATAAACCTGTTCAACTGGCATGCAGTCCCTCCCTCCCTGTGGTTCTTACTCCATCTGTTCTGATTAGCGAGATGTTTGTGTCTAAACAGAAACTGTTTAGAAGTAGTAGCCACTTCCTGCCGCCGTGGTGCAGATACAACAGCAGCGTGTGAAGAGGACTTGGCAGGCCTCTCCAAGAAAAAGGCAATCTTCGTGCCACCCAGATGCTAAATTCCAAAGAGAGAGAGAGATGGATGGTATCTTGGAGGCCTTTTAGTCCAACCCTGGGGGGGTAGGATTCTACCGGTTCGGATTGGTTCGGGCAAAACGGATGTTCAGTTTTCAATCTGGTTTGCCCAAACCGGCATTTCAACCGACCGGCTGGTCCTGCCTACCCGTCTTTGCCCCTCCGAGGAGTCTCCACGCTGCCCATTTTCGATGCAGGTAAGGTCCATGCAGAGTCTCTGGGAGGGGGAAAAAAATGGGCCTTCCAGAAGTCGGGAAATGGGCCTGTTTCCGGCTCCCGGAGGGACTCCAGAGCCTAGGGGAGACCATTTTTCCCCTCCCAAAGGCCCGGGGGAGGCCTCCAGACCCTTGGGAAGGTAAAAGACGGCCCTCCCAGGAGTTCCACCCCCACCATGGCCACGCCCACCCAGCAACTGGGCAGTGAACTGGTTGCTGGGGGTTTTGAATCCTCCCCCTGCCTGGTCCAACCCCATACAAGCAGGAGACCCCATACAATTTGCTGTCCCAGACTCTTGCATGAGGTTATTGGAGATCCAACTAAAACTGACAAGCCAGCCTTCTATTCTGGTCTACAAGCTCTTCCCTAAATCTTGATTTCTCCTGACTTTTTTTTCCCCCTTATTCCTAACGTATGATTTCTGAAATCCCATATATGGGAAATCCATATGTATGAATTCTGAAATCCATACGTATGAATTCTGAAATCCCATTTACGAAGAGTGACACACACACACGTGTGCGCGTGCGTGCGCACACACACACACACACACACACACACACACACACACACACACAGAGGAGAAACTTACATTTTCGGGGATGCTGGGGAGTTCCCTGGTGTCGGGTACCGTAAAGTAAGAGTGCTGGAGGAGAGGGGGAGAGAGAGAGAAAGAAAAAAAGATGCACCTCAAATTTCCATTTCTTTTGACATAGTTACGCTCTCTACTACCGTGATTCTCAAGCTGGATAACTTAAAGACATGTGGACAACATGTCCCAGAATGCACACCCCATCGATGTCCACACACTGCCAGGGTTAAGTGTGATCTACTGCTTGGGGAAAAAAAAAAAAAAAGAACTAACACGCATCACGGATGCCATAAACACAATCGACAATCCAAAATGCAGTGATGCTAAATATCAATCGATCAGAACAGAGCTGGAAGGGGCCTTGGAGGTCTTCTAGTCTAGCCCCCTGCTCAAGCAGGAGAACCTCTACCATTCCAGACAAATGACTGTCCAGTCTCTTCTTAAAAACCTCCAGGGATGGAACGCCCACCACTTCTGGTGGCAAGCAGTTCCACTGGTTAATTGTCCTCACCGCTGAGAAGTTTCTCCTCAATTCCAGGTTGCTTCTCTCCTTGATTATCCCCAAAGTGCTTTTTCAAGAGACAGCTGGACTGTCTGTTTTTTTCTTCGAAGATGTTTCGCTTCCCATCTAAGAAGCTTCTTCAGCTCTTCTTCAGAACAACCCTGACCTGGATGGCTGAGAATCTCCATAGACCAAGGGTGTCAAACTCAAGGCCCATGGGCTACTTTCAGCCACCACCACCCCACCACCCCAAGATCAACCACATGACTGTCTGGTCTCTTCTTTAAAAAAAATCCAATGATGAAGCCCTCACAACTTCTTGTGGCAAGCCATTCCACTGGTTCATTGTCCTCGGTGTTAGGGGAAATTTCTCCTTAATTCCAGGTTGCATCTCTCATTGAGGAGTTTCCATCCATTGTTTCTTGTTTCTCTGGTGCTTTGGAAAATAATCTGACCCCCCCTCCCCTTTGTGGGACCCCTGAAATACTGGAAGACTGCCCATCACGTTCCCCCTACTTTTCTCCACAGAATTGGCCATATCCAATTATTTTATACAATCCACACCCAGTTATACAAGGTACGGATCTGTTATCAGCCCAAATGCTTTCAGGCTTCGTCTTGTTTCAAATCGTGGAGATTCCAGGACGGATCCTTCTCGGCACATCCCAAGGCCAAGGTGGAAGTTAAGAATGGAGAAATATCACTTCTGCTCTTGGGACTTTTGTGGTTGTCCCCGAGCCAAGGACTGAAGCGCTGCACCCTACTTACTCCAAACAAAAACCTCCAGACTTTCCCCCATTTTAGGAAATGCTCACCACGCTGAGATGAACCGAAGAAGCTGGCTCAGGAATCGGTAGTTTATATAGTGTCTGCAGAAGTTCACACCTTTGGCTGTCCTGAAACAAAGAAGAAGAAGAAGTGAGGTGGTCTTACTGAGGTGGTTGTGTTCATTGGGAGAGAAACAAACTTGGGAAAGAATTTGGAATTGTCTTCAAAAGCTGAATCAAAGACAGCTTGGGTCATCTCTGGTGTTGGCAAATGGTAAAGTTTTTTTTTTCCCAAATATTTTTAATTGTACTTTTCCTTTGTTATACATCATATATGAATACTTTTTTATTATACGATTTTCTTGGTTATGTATAGGATTTCATTCTTCACAGTATACCATCTGGGTGCAATCTCTACATTCTTAATTACATACCGATAATAAATCTTATACATACAATAGTTATAACTATTACTCTCAATATCTGTTCATCTTCATCTTCACTTCTCCTTGTTATGAATTTTACCTTGTATGTTTAGGCCTTCTATTCATTTTTATCTGTAGTCCATTAATACTATCAAACAACTATAAACATAATTTAACAGGGAATATCAAAATAACCACAATCAGAATCAAATATTACTTGTCCTTGCTGAGAAATTAGAGAAAGAAATCAATGGAAAGATTTCCCGTCTTTCTTTAACAATTGGGTGGTTTTTTTATTTTATCAAAACTTGTGAAAGAATCTGGAATTTTCTTCAAAAGCTGAATCAAAGATGGCTTCAGTCATCTCTGGCATTGGTACAATTTTTTTATTGTACTTTTCCTTTGTTATACATCACATATTAATGTTTTTTTATTGTATAATTTTCTTGGTTATGTATAGGATTTCATTATTCACAGTAACAGTATACCATCTGGGTGCAATCTCTACCTTCTTAATTACATACTGATAATAAATCTTTTACATACAATAGTTATAACTCATTACTCTCAATATCTGTTCATCTTCATCTTCACTCATCCTTGTTATGAATTTTATCTTTTAGGCCCTCTATTCATTTTTAATCTGTAGTCCATTAATACTATCAAACAACTATAAAGATAATTTAACAGGGGATATCAAAATAACCACAAACAGAATCAAATATTATTGATCCTTACTGGGAAATTAGGGAAAGGAATGGATGGAAAGATTTCCCTCCTTTCTTTAACAATGGTTTTTTAAAATTTTATCAAAACTTGTGACATAATCTGGAATTGTCTTCAAAAGCTGAATCAAAGATGGCTTGGGCCATCTCTGGTGTTGACAAATGGTAAAGTTTTAAAGACATACACATATACACACACACACTGGGTCTCTTTCAAATACACACACCAATTCAAATGCACAAGACAAACACAGGTGTGACCCCAATATTTACCTGGCCCTTCACTGCGTAGTCTGCCAGAATATTCAGCAGTTTATAAAACACTTCAAACCATGGGAGATAACTAAAAAAAGGAAAAGATGAGAAAAGCACATTTGCACATTAATATTACGAGGAAAAAAAAAAAAGCTTTCTTCTGCAGAAATTATACAAAAGGCCAAGACTTGTTGAGATCTTGCTACTCCTTGAATGCCCCTGATCCCTGAAATAAAATCAGAAAATATTGGTGGTGGATAAAGACTTCTGGTGTCCTGCCAGATGCTGATTGGTACTCCAAGAAAACATGAATGAATGGTTGCAGGAATTGGGTCTGACCAGTCTAGAGAAAAAAAGGACTAAGTGTCACATGTTAGCTGTCTTCCAGTATTTGAGGGGCTGCCCCAAAGAAGAGGGGGTCAAATTATTCCGCAAAGCACCAGAAGGCAGGACAAGAAATGTTGGAAATGAATCAAGGAGAGAAGCAACCTGGAATTGAGGAGAAACTTCCTATCAGTGAGGACAATTAACCAGTGGAACTACCTGCCACCAGAAATGGCGGGTGCTCCATCCCTGGAGGTTTTTAAGAAGAGACTGGACTGCCACCTGTCAGAAACGGTGTAGGGACTCCTGCTTGGGTGGAGAGGGTCGGACTAGATGACCTACAAGGTCCCTTCCAACTCTGTTGTTCTATTATTCCTTTCAGACTTCCTAATTTTGGATTTTAAAGGGAGATTGGCTTGATGTAACTCTCCTTACTCCAAAACGATCCTACCTCCCTCTTAAAATTCAGCGTATGGGGCTTCGTTTAGAATTTATGGACCCATTAAAGGAGCTATGTCAGCCTTAAGAGAGAACGTAAAAGATCCCCGTTTCAATCTATATCTATAAAAGTGAAAGACCCCCCCCTCACACACACACACACATGCATCATCACAAAATCTCCAGAACCCGTAAAGCCTACAAGCTTGAAATTTGGCATCTATGTTCCTCTTGGCTTCTAGAGGCTCACCAAGAAAGGGTTTTTCGAAATGACCATCAGAGCATTTAGAGTATTCCCTATATTATTATTACTATTAACACGCTCTGATGCTAAGGAGTTCTACTCTCCCTTCCCCACCTGAAAAGAAATCTCTTCCAAAGGCAAAACACAAGCAGAGGAGAGGAGTTTCAGTGTTAGTTTTGCCGCTTTAGTACAGAACAGTTGAGCTAAGCCACGCCCAGGCTCCTTGCAGTCTCCTCCTTGCTCACACAGCAAATACAGTTTCAGTTTCCAAACAGCCCTCAACTCTCTCGCACACTGACCGGACGCTAGCCAGATGAATCCCGATGGATGCTGGTACGCAGAGGCACAATTCCCCCACCCATTATTTTCCTCCCCCCAAAACTGAGCCCGATCACATCGTTTCATTAGCGAAGCATCGGCGGGCGTTGAGCTGGTTCCCAATAAAATACTCTCCAGAGAAGAAAGAGAGAGAGAGAGAGAGAGAGAGAGAGAGAGAGAAAGAACTTCTCGCCGGGTTGGGCTTTTTTTTTTTATTGTCTGGAAGTCAAAACGTCCCTCGGCTACAGAACAAGCCCAGATCTTGCACAAACGGGGAAACGTTCTTGAAAAATGGCACTTAGAAAAGCAGTTTGTTCACCAAGCGGCCGATGGGAACCGAAGAGGCGGCGCATCGGATTATAAAGCGCTTGTTTTCTCCAAGGCTTCAATGTCAAAACCAGGTTCTGCTTAGGGATCTGGCTCCTTTCGCTAAGCAACCATGGACCCATTTCCCAGGTTCCAAGCAGCGTCAACAACTGCCAGAGGGCTCTCGGGGGGGGGGGGGGGGGGGGCGCGGCGGTGTTCTTTCCCCCGGGGGGGGGGGAAACCTTGGCAGGTGTTCTCTGTACAATGGGTATAGAGTGGCAGACTCAAGCCCGCTGCAAGACAAGGGAGGGGGAAGAAAGATTTTGGGCTGGCTTCCCAGGGCCCAGGCAAAGAGGCCGGCTCCAAATGGGAGTTCTGAGTTGGGCGTTGGGCCCAAAGGTGTGTTTCCAGGCTGCGCTGAGGCGGAAGCTTCCTAGCTTTCAACTAGTCAAGGTGCAACCAACTGACATGTGGGGGTTTTCTTTTCCTTCCTTCCTTCCTTCCTTCCTTCCTTCCTTCCTTCCTTCCTTCCTTCCTTCCTCCCATTCCCTCCTTCGCCTTCCTTCCTGCCTCCTTCTTTCCTTCCTTCCATTCCCTCTGTCTTCTTTCCAACCTTCCTTCCTCCCTCCCCCTCCCTTCTATCCCTTCTTTGCCTTCATTCCTTCCATCCCTTCTTTGCCTTCCTTCCTTCCTTCCATCCTTCCTTTCCTTCCTTCCCCTCTCTTTAACTTCGTTCCTTCCTTCCTTCCTTCCTTCCTTCCTTCCTTCCTTCCTTCCTTCCTTCCTTCCCCTCTCTTTAACTTCCTTCCTTCCATCCTTCCTCCCTCCCTCCCTCCCTCCCCCTTCTATCCCTTCTTTGCCTTCCTTCCTTCCATCCATTCCCTCTGCCTCCCTCCCTCCCTCCCTTCTTTCTTCCATCCCTTCTTTGCCTTCCTTCCTCCCTTCTTCTGTTCTTTTATTTGAGTTCTACCAGCGGAGCAGAAACAAGCCAAATGGGGCGGGGGGGGGGCATTTCTCTCTGGCAATCTCTGCCTTCTCCGTTTTATTTGTGGGCCTCCCTTTTCAAAGCACGGGGAGGGGATGCGAGGCAGCAGCCTCACACCCTCCTCTGCCTGGAGCCGATGGACCGAGGAACTGGCAGCAGCCCACCTGGGGACTGACGGGGGCCTGTTTTTCTCCTCTTTCGTTGGTAAACCGAGCACTTCCTCTTCCCTTTGGCTCCTCCAGAGCTTTTGATTAACGGCTGCTTTCGCGGGTCAGAGGTTAAACAAAGGAAGCGAAGCCCCAACTGAAATGGCCCACAGCCCTGACACACACACACACACACACACACACACACACTCCTACACAAAATTAAAAATAAACCAGCCCAAGGGTGACGGCTGGCTGGAAGAGAAACTCGCCTTAAAAGGACGTAAAAGCAACAGGTTGAAAATTACTCCAAGCACCACGAGTTGAGAGATTTCAGCAGCCATAAATCAAGAGAGCGATTCTGGCTTGTTTTACACCCTGGACTCAACTCGGCTTGCCAAAATAATTGCGTTTATTCTCCCGCAACCCGGTGGGGAAGCAACCTTCCTTGCCTCCCATCTCACAGGGGCAATATTTTCTCCCGTGTATATTTTTAACGGTTGTTTAATAGCCCTCCATGGGAGTTCCCAGCAACCGGTTCACTGCCCGAGGGCTGGGTGGGCGTGGCCATGGTGGGCGTGGCCTACTGGAGCTTCCGGGTGGGGCGTTTTTCTGCCTTCCCCAGAGTCCGGAGGCTTCCCTTGGGCCTCTGGGAGGGCAAAAACAGCCTCCCGGGCTTGTTTCCGGACTTCTAGAAGGCCCATTCCCCCCCCCCCAAGCGTCCGCGGGGACCCTGCACTTACCTGCACCCAAAACGGGCCACATGGAGACTCTGGGGAGGGGAGGGGTGAGCCAGTCGGTTCAACTACCGGTTCGGCGAAACCAGGTGTAAATTTAACATCCAGTTCGCCCGAACCGGTCTGAACCGACTGAATTCCACCTCCTGAGCTTACATGAATGTATTTCAGGCCAAGAGGGGTCTTCCTTCCCCCTATTTCCCCCTCCAAAATGCTCTTTGCGCTCTTCCGACCGAGCTTACTCCACAGGAAGAACAATCTCTGCCTTATCAAGACCAGGGGCCTCCAGGAAGTGCCCCAAAGTCAACTGAACTTCTTGGTTTTACTTTAAGACATTTCCCGTCTCATCCAAGAAGCTTCTTCGGTTCTAATTAAGTGGTGGGGAATGGAAGGGAATTATACTCTCTGCAAGCATGAACTGAATGCTGATATTTAACGATCCTGATAAAGCACCTTCTGGTGCTTTGGAGAATAAGATGACCCTCCCTCTTCTTTGTGGCAGCCCCTCAAATACTGGAATGCTGCTATCTTGTCACCCCTTAATTCTTCTTTCCTCTAGACTGGCCAGACCCAAATCCTGCAGCCGTTCTTCCTATGTTTTAGTCTGCAGGCCTTTGATCCTCTTGGTTGCTCTTCTCTGAACTTTTTCCAAAGTCTCAACATCTTTTTTGTAATGCGGTGACCAAAATTGGCTGCACTATTCCAGGTGTGGCCTCACTAGGGGTTTTATAAAGCCGTACTAATACTTCACATGATCTTGATTCTTATGCCTCTGTTTATACACCCCAGGATTGGATAACATGGAAATGGATAACAGAAGCTTCCCAAGAAGAAACATGGAATGAGATGGCCACCGTGGAACCCAAAGAACAGACTGATCCCAACCCATCACACACAGTTTTTGTCCTCTCAACTTAATATTAACATATTCTGCAACCTTCTTGCACCACTAAATATATTTTATCTGCTGCCTACAGGACAATTGCGGCTCCTCTTCCCTTGAGGGATTGTCCTAGGGAAGGAACTGGTGGTGACCATCCTGTGGGCCAATTATTGTGACTCTTGGGGGCTCAAGAGCACCCCCTCAGAGTCCGTGGTCTGGACTAATTAATTGGGTTAGGGGGTTTGCACGACACACAACCTCTCTTAATCCATTTAAGCGTCTCCTAGCCAGCAGTAGGGCCACGCAATCCTTGTGGAGTTAATTTTTTTTTTAATTGCTAGCATGGGGAGGGGAAGGGGTTTTTTAAATTGTTGTGGCCAGTAGAAGTCTAATTGGAGAGCTTCACCTTCCCTGGCGCAATGAGCAACTGAGCTACCTTAGTATCTCTGGACAAGGTTATTCCTTTCATTCGTGAATTTTATTTCCAGATTAAGAACCGAATCGAGGGCCATTGAACAACCCGGTCTCTCTCGCTTCCCTCTTTCTCGTATTCTGCAACCTTGAGTTTAATTTTTTTTTTTTTACTGAGTTATAAAATATTGTAAAATGCAAAATACAAAAGTCAATAGGAAAACAGCGGGGAAGAAAAAGGGAGAAGAGAAAGTGAGGAAGGGTAGGAATAAAAAGAAAAAATAACAACATTGACT